ATCTGAAGAACATATAAACAAAATACAGTATATCCACGCGAGGGAATATTACTCAGTCATGAAAAGGAATGGGGTATGAAAGCTGCTACTACACGGAGATCTGAGTGCACTGTGCTAAGTCAGACACAAAAGGCCACTTGTCCTATGATTCCATGTATAGGACGTGTTCAAAGTGAGGACATCTATAGGGACAGAGAGTAGATCAGCGATGGTCCAGGGCTGAGGGGTGGAGTGTGAAACGGTCATAGACTGTTAATGGGAACAAGGTTTCTTTCTGAGGTGATGAAAATGTTCTAAAGTTAGAACGTAGTGATGGTAACACAACTTGAGAAATACACTTAAAAAACCATTGAATAGTACAATTTCAGTGATGAATTTGATGTTTAATAACATATCTCAATAAAGCTGTTAAAAAATGAATCCAGGAAAGGACTGGTTGATGCCACTTGAGTCCGATGCCCTGTCCAGACTCACTCACTGGAAACAGTGAGAACCAGGGGACGGGGCACATTTGCAAGACGGGGGCAGCTCCTCTGAGAAGCAGCTGCTCTGGTCGGTCCCTGTCAGGAGGGGGCATGAGGGGTGCACTTCCCAGATGAGGGATTATTAGCAGACAAAACAATGCCCACTGCACTGGCTATTTATAGAGAATTTACATTTACCCAAACACACCGATTTTCACAACAACCCTGTCAGTTAAGTATAGAAACAAATGTTATGTTGATAGATGCTCAGGTTAAATAACCTTCCCAAGGTCACTTGAGTAATTAGTAACCCCAGTACGACTAGGGTTCAACCACGGATGGGACTCCAGTCTCTTTCAATCATTGGGCCATGCTGCCTCCCTCTGGCTTATGTAAGTTGCAAAATTCTGGAATGTACCACCAGAGACCTAACTTTAGATCACTTCTTTATTCTATTGACTTATTTCCTCTTTCATCCAAGCGGACCCTCTATCCTTGGCTGGCCTAGGAGCACTGTTGGGAATCTTTGAAGTGCCCGAAGGCCACAGATGACACTTCAACCCTAGAATTGTAGCGAACACACTGGTGTTCACGCCACATTCCTCCAGCTTGTCAAGGGTAGAAGGAACTGGGACAGGAACCCAGAGCAATGGCTGTGTACCCAGCTCTGATCCACCGGCCAGTTAACCCTCTCAAAACAAAAAAATAAGGACAATTTGACAAGATGCGTGCTTACTGAGCCAACACAGCTTATTTTTCAAGTGTTCGCAAGCTGTCGCTTAATAATCCCTTCTCGAATTCTGCCAGCAATTTGGTGGCAGAATTGATCGATGTTAAGCCTGTTGGTCTGTGGTTTCTTAGACCTCCTTTCTCTTCTTTAAAAATGCCGGCACAACAGTTTTCTCTCTCCGGTCTCTCTCTCTCTCCTTTTAAGGATTTATTTATTTATGCATACAAGAGCTGGGGTACAGGCCAGAGATGCGGGAGGTGAGAGGATTCACCAGAGACAGAGTAGGGAACAGAACAGGCAGACTGACTGAAATACACTGCTGAGGGGAGCAGCGGGCGAGACAGGAGAGGTCTGCTGTGCCATGTGGTTATCTAATTGGCCTGCTGGGAATGGAACTCATGCTACAGTGGCTGGTGATAGCTTGACAGTGCTGTCTTTAACCCCTGTGCCACGAGGAAGGCCCCCTCTCTCTGGTCTCTTGGTAGTTCTCAGCTGCAGCACGCGTTCCCTAAGAACAGGGCAGTGGTTCTCCAGCCCCCTCTGCACATTCCCCCGCTCGCTGGGCTGGGATCCAGTGGGGTCACCTGTGATGTGACTCCACGTAAGAGAGCTGGGCCCTCACCTGCACCTGCCTCCCCACCTGAAGCTCTGGTTCCTTCTCACCCGCCTTCGCCTTTGTCCCAGCCCCCAAGATGAGGCACCTTCTCGGTGGAGAAGACAGAGAACTCCGTTTTCTCTGTCATGTGTGAGCAGCAGACTCTCTGCCCTGGCATGAGGCGTATCTTCCCGCCTTGCTCTTGCTTCTGGTGGATAAAACAGCCTTTCTGTCGTCCTTGGCATTTTCACCAGCCTCCCTCACTCTGAAACGCCATCTTCCTGACACCGTTCTCACGCACGCCTGCCAGGCTTTATTTTCTCCCAGACACATGCCTGGTGTCCACCTTTCAGACATGTCATCTGGAAACCCCAGATGACGCGATTTGCCTCCAGGGTGAAAAGCCCCTTCTCTTCATTGTTGGGATTTTTTTTTAAGATTTATTTATTTATGCATACAAGAGCTGGGGTACAGGCCAGAGGATTCACCAGAGACAGAGTGGGGAACAGAACAGGCAGACTGAAACACACTGCTGAGGGGAGCAGCAGGCGAGACAGGAGAGGTCTGCTATGCCATGTGGGTTGCTCCCTGGTTGGCTGGGGGATCAAACTCGTGCTGCAGAGGCTGTGGACAGCTTCACAGTGCTGTGCTTAATCCCTTGCGCCACCAGAGAGGCCTGGGATTTTTTAACTCGGGCCAGTTTGCTGTGTTTTTAGAACTAGACCATGGTTCCAAATTGCCTAGGCACAGGAAGAGCATTCACTGCTGATGGAGCAACTCTCTAGAGCTGCACAGGAGTAGGACACAGGTTACTCTTACTCTCTTCGTTTTATAGACAAGGACACAGAGGCCCAAGGTACACAGTTATTTATGGTGGAGCTGGGTGGGTCTTGAACCCAGATGGTCTAACTCTAGAAGCCAAGTTCTCATCTGCTTCATCGGAGGCCACGCCTCACATCACAGCGGAGGAGGCAAACCTGGATACAGATTCCCCGGGGCGCTATTATGGGCCTTAATGCCAGTAGCACGACTGAGCAAGCTTGAGTCAGGAAAAAGGGTCTGGACACTGAAGGGGAAGGAAGGAAGATCTCAAAACAGGAGCCTACTCACTGAGGCCTAAAAGAGATGACTCCTTCACTCACCAAATCAGCCAACCTCAGACATGTCCTCCACAAAGCCCTTCGGGTTGAGGAAGTGAGGCCCGTATATTACTGACCACTCATTCCAGCCCCTTCCACATCCTCTCTGGAGCCCCAGGATTCCTGGGTGGCCTCAGGACTAGTGAAGGGAGCCCCACTATTTCAGCAGCAACAATTCCTGGACATACTAAGCTTCTTTGCACTCAAACACCCCGAGGGCATAGAGAGGAGCGAGATGGCCTGGCTTTGGTCAAAGGCAGTCGTTGCTTAATAAGGCCTTTAAATTATCTCAATAAAGAGGAGACTAAACACTTAAATGCTGTGGAGAGTGTCTTATTGATTGGAGGAGAGAGGCTCTGGCCTGCCAGCCCTGGCTGGGTGGGAGCCAGGCCAAGCCAGCCCCAGGGGCTGCTGCCCGGTGTGAAGTACTTAGGAGAGGCTTCCTGGGCGCCGAGAGGACCCAGCGCTATCCCAAAGTGGCCTCCTGGCTTCAGGGACTGATTTTCAGAGTTCACAGTCTCCCTCCAAGACAGCGTGGTTAGTAGAAAAGGGAGAAAATATAGGGGAGTGGATTTTAATCCTGGCTGAACAGAGCATGGGCCGCCACACGATGTCTCTGAGGCTCCTTCATCACAACACGGGGTGAGAGCACGGAGCCCGCGGGCCTGGTGGCGCTCACATGAGGTAAATATGTAAAAGTGCTTTGTAGATTGTAAATCTCCACGGGAATAGACAGTGGGTTTAGCATAAGTTAGATGTGTTGCTCTTCTGCTTAAAACTCTCCATGGCCAAAAAAAAAAGAACCCTCCTACACTGCTGGTGGGAACGCAAACTGGTCCAGTCACTATGGAAAGCTGTGTGGGGGTTCCTCAGATTACTGAAAATGAGTCTACCATATGACCCAGCGATTTCACTCCTAGGAATCTACCCAAAGGACACAAAAACATTCATTCAAAAGGAAACCAGCACTCCTGTGTTTATTGCAGCACTATTTACAATAGCCAAGAAATGGAAACAACCTAAATGCCCAAGAACAGATGCATGGATCAAGAAGATGTGCTACCTATACACCATGGAATATTACTCAGCAATCAAAAAGATAAACTCATGCTATTTGCAGCAACATGGATGGAGCTGGACGGGATTATGCTCAGCGAAATAAGTCAGAAGGAAAAAGAAAAATATCAGATAATTTCACTTATAGGAGGAATATAGGGGAACCGAACAAAGTGTCAAAAAAGACAAAACTTTCAGGCAAACCATAGATCTGAGCCATCCAGTAGGGGCGAGGGAAGGAGGGGGGTCGGCACAGGGGAGGAAAGAACACAAAGGCCTGTGGTGATGGTTCACAGGTGATGTGGTGGGGGGAGATTTATGAGGACTACACCTGAGGGGAGAAATCAAATATCGTAAACAAAATAACAACAATAAACAAAATAAACAATAACAATAACAATAAACAACAGTAAACAAAAATAAACAATAAGAAAATAATTTTTTAAACATCTAAAATAAATGTCAAAAATATGTAAAAATAAATAAAACTCTCCATGGCTCCTCACGGGCATTGTGTGATGGGGCCCCTGCCTGCCCCCCGCCCCAACCTCCTAATGTGAAATCCCCCTCCCTCGCCGTGCTCCCAACGGCCCCTGTAACTGTCCAAGAACGTGCCCAGCTCCCTCCTCCCTCACAGCGCCCTGCTTTCAGCTCCCGCTGCCTGGCACACTCCTCCCCAAGGGTTTTCCTGACGGGACCCTTTGACCTCAGATCTCAGCTCCAGTGTCACCTCCTCAAGACGCCTTTCCTGGCCGCCTCCAGCCCACCTGGCCCAGCCCCTGTTCCCCTCTCTCCATGGAAACAACCAAGTCCCAGTGTTTCTATGAACTTGCTCATCTTTGGGCCTGCCCCTGCAGGCTGTTGGCTCCACGGCCTAAGGCTCTTGCCTACTTGATTCTCTCCCCGGTGTGTCACAGCCTTGGTGGCCGAGGGAGTGCCGCACAGGCGGGCGACCAGGGCAGCCTGGCCAGCTTCCCCCGGGCCCCGCTCCTCACACCTGTTTGTCTCCCTCTCAGCTATGGAGACATGGTGCCCAAGACCATCGCCGGGAAGATCTTCGGCTCCATCTGCTCCCTGAGCGGCGTCCTGGTCATCGCCCTCCCGGTCCCTGTGATCGTTTCCAACTTCAGCCGCATTTACCACCAGAATCAGAGAGCTGACAAGCGGCGGGCACAGAAGGTAAGCCGCGGGCGCGGGCGCGGGCGCAGAGGCGGCAGCTCCAGAGCGGGGCCTGGAGCGGGGCCTTTCTCCTGGGCAGCCGTCGCTCGAGTGGCCAGGCCTAGGCCTCCTCCACCATCGCTGCACAGAGAGCTCTGGCTTTGGGGGGCAGAGCAGCTCCGTGTCCCTGCCTGCCTCCCAGCACCCTGGGTCTTTTATGTTGCCAGCCTCTCTGAAGACTTATCTTCTGGGGGTGCCCCTCTCTCTCCCCTCCAGCACCTCTATCCTACCTCTCACCCAAGGTCAGGGTTCCCCACCCCCATTCCCTGCAGGCCATCCCTAAATAAAAGTCTTATCTCTCTCCCTATTCAAGTCAGCTGGCAAACATGAGCAATATCTGAATTCATTATGCAGCCCTGAAGAAAGGGGGGGCGGAGCCAGGGTCTTCTTTCCAAATCAAGGAGCATGAGGCCCTGGGGCGCCAGAGGTCCTGGAACAACACCGCCCTCAGGGGCTCAGGCTGACTCTGGTTCTGCACAGAGCAGATGAGCTTCAAAGGGATGCTTAGCAACTACAGGAGCCTAAAGCTGTGCCCACGGCAGAGCCCCACCAGGCTGGGCTGGATGCAGCTCCTGCAGGACCTTACCTCAGCAGTGCTCATGCCCCTGCAAAGAATACAACAGTGCTCCTTCCTCCTGGGGCTTTGCAAAGTTCATCCCGTGTGATTAACACCCAGAAGGAAATTTGTCTAGGGAAAAATGAAATGGCTTTCCATTGTAAAAAAAATTAAAAAATAAAAAAGACCCAGAAGGCATCAGCTTTGGCCTATTCCTTCCGTAAAGATGAGGCTCCCTCCATCCCGCAGCTGTCTGCCCTTCCTCCCTCTCCCTCTTCACTCTCCCTTTGAAATCAGTGTAAATATTTACAGTGTTTTCACCTAGCCTGGATTCTGCCTCTCCTCAAGGTTGCTCAGCCCTGTCTGTTTCACCTTGGGCTTCCTGTGAGAAGGGAGAAAAAATATACACAGGAAAACTCCTTGCTTCAGCTCGGAATCTCTCTCTTCCAGGCAAGGCAGGCAGGGCCCAGGACTCAGAGGGGTGGGAGGGGAAGGCCAGGGAAACCAGAGGTCGCTCAGACCTCATAGGCAGGACCTGTCTAGCCACAAAGGTAAGCTCCAGCCCACCCCTCTGGGTGAGGGAAAAGCTCAGTAAGAAGTCCTCGGCCTCTGCCGCTGTGACTAGTTCGCTTGGGATTATTACCGAGGTGCCTCCAGGGCTCTTTTCTTTAGCATATGTGTTCTCTGGCCCAAGTGCACGGAGATCAGGAAAGGACTTCTAGCTGTGGACAGACAGAAGGGGACTTTGGGGTGGGGGATTTGGTCCCCATCTCCATTCTGGTGCCTACGTACATGAAAGCTAGCTCCAAAATATATGCTACATATAATAATGCACAATAATAAAACTTTTTCATGGAAAATTTTACTTAACTCTATCACCTGTTATTGCTGCATCCACCACCAGAGTCAAGAGGCTGAGTAGTTCCATACCCCCTCCTGCCCTAGCGCCTCCGCTCCAGGCCTAGTGCCTGGCAGCTGTTGATCTGGCCTTCATTTATAAAATGTCCTCATTTCAAAATGTTGTATATAGTGGACTCATACAATGGGGAGACTTTGGAGATGGGCATTCTCATTCCATGTGGCTGCTGGACATGCATCCAAATTGTGTGCCTCCCTCATGCCATGCTCTTTACTGGACAGCAGGATCCCATGGTAGGATGCACAGAGTCTGTTTAACCATTCACTTGGATGGTTGCAGTTTGGGATTATTATACATGAAGTTGCTACGAACATCATGGATGGAGCCCTCACTCACTGTAAGGCTCTGTGCCAGCTACTGGAGATAAAAAATATGCATAATTGGGCCTCCCTGGTAACACAGGGGTTAAAGTCTCAGCATTATCAAGATATTGCCAGCCACTGCAACATGAGTTTGATCCCTGGCCAGGATGCTGACCCACATGGCGAGCAGACCTCTCCTGTTTCGCCCGCTGCTCCCCTCAGCAGTGTATTTCAGTCCATCTGCCTGTTCTGCTCCCCACTCTGTCTCTGGTGAATCCTCTCACCCCCCCACACACAGACACCTCTGACCTGCACCCCAGTTCTTGTATGCATAAATAAATAAGTCTTTAAATATATATATGCATAAGCCACTGACTGTGGCCTTTGGGAGCTCAAAGTCAAGCCAAGACTCCTCACCAAATTTCATATGCCCGGTGTGGTTCCATAAATACATTGCAAACCTCTTTATCCTGTGTAGGAAATGATTAAACGATACAGTGCATTTGATATGACAATCTGTTGCTTTAATAGAGCCCAGGGTAAGATAAGATTAAAAGAAGTGCCACAAAGGAGAGCAGGAGAATCTTTCATCTCTGGAAAGTAATGAAGACAGACCCCAGATACGAGAAAGGTCTGGCTCTAAGTGGTGCAATCAAATTATATAAGGCTCTAATGAGTTTGACACAATTGGATTTCCATATACAGTTCTCAACACCCAGCTCTCACCCACAGCAAAACAGCCAGCGTCCTCCAGCGACCAGGGCCTTGCTTGGATGTAGACATCTAGCTGGGGGGAGAAGGGGGGGTTGCAGCAGGACCCCCAGAGGAGAATCATTCTGGACCTCGAGTGGATGCTCTTTGCTCAAGAAGTGGAAGGATGGGACCCAGCCTCCCCTGCGGGTTCTGCCCGGGAGGGATCGCTCCTCCTCAGATTCGCAGGCAGCTCTTCCAGCACCGAGTCCTGGCTTCTTCCCCCCGTTTAGAAGTCCAGGCCGGGAGCTGAACTGGCCTGCAAGCACGAGCTGGCCATGGAGATCGTGTCCCTGCGTCCCTGGTCTCCTCTCGTCAGGTTAACCTGCCACAGGCTCTCAAGGGGATCTTGCCCGTGCGTGGGGCGGGTAACAGCAAAGGAAAACTGCCACAATCTCCCCCATCTCTTCTCCCCAGAGTGCTCGCAAGGGTTCCTTCCCCAACACCCGGAGGAGGGACCCCTGCACCAGGAGGCGAGGGCAGCCGGTTCTGTTCCCAGGAGCAAGGACCTGCAGAGGGTCTAGATTTAGAGCCCAGACCTCAAGTTGCATGTCTTTAAAGGAGCAAGAACCCCTCCAGCCCGTCCTTTCTGCCTCTCCCAAGACGCCTGCCCAGGCTTCACTCTGGGTCTGTGCTGCCGTCATGGCGACGCTCATTAAGGTTATTAGGAAGAAGAGCAGTCGGCCTGTGTGAGCCTCCAGCCTCTCCCCTGCCCCCACAAGCGGGTGGCGCTTGTATTGGGAGCTGGTGCCCGCCCCTGCAGGAGCCCCGCAGTCCCCCAGGTCCGGCTGGGGCTTCTCCCTTCCTAGTCAGGGCCAAAGCGGCGCAAGAAGCTGCCTCTTACACGTTGAGGCCCCGTCATGTGCACACACGACTGGCTCATCCCAGGGATGTGCACCCACCATAAGATGCGCATGCACTGGGCCTCCCTCGTGGCTCAAAGGGTTAAGTCTCAGGACTATGAAGCAATCTGCAGCCACACAGCATGAGTTTAATCCCCGGCCAGGGAGCTACCCACATGGCACAGCAGACCTCTCCTGACTCGCCCGCTGCTCCCCTCAGCAGCGTATTTCAGTGGATCTGCCTGTTCTGCTCCCCACTCTGTCTCTGGTGAGTCCTCTCACCCCCCACATCTCTGGCTTGCACCACAGCTCTTGTATGTATAATAAATAAATAAATAAATCTTAAAAAAAAGGAGGGCCTCCCTGGTGGCGCAAGGGCTTAAGCACTGCACTATGAAGCAATCCGTAGCCTCTGCAGCATGAATTTGATCCCCGGCCAGCCAGGGAGCAACCCACATGGCACAGCAGACCTCTCCTGTCTCCCCTCTGCTCCCCTCAGCAGTGTATTTCAGTCAGTCTGCCTGTTCTGTTCCCCACTCTGTCTCTGATGAATCCTCTCACTCCCCCACAATCTCTGGCCTGTACCTCAGCTCTTGTGACCATAAATAAATAAATCTTAAAAAAAAAAAAAGAAAAAATAGACATACACTGACAGGGCTGTGCATGAATCCACTCCCAGAGAGACAGGCAATTGTCATTTTTAATTTAAAAATTACCAGGCACCAAGGGCATATCCATGAGCAAACCCACCCCTGCCCTCTAAATCTGGCAAACCCACCCCTGCCCTCAAGGGGTTCAGGGGTGAGGGGGCCGTAGCAGGGTGAGCAGGCACAGAACACCTTAGTGAGAAGTGCTGAAGAGGAACCACTCCTCACTCTCCTCCTGGTTGACCCAGATGTGGGCACGAGATGTGGGCACCTGCCGCGTGCAGAGTCCTGCTGGGCCCTGGGTCAGGAGACCCTCACAGGGGCTTAGAGCCAAGAACCGCTCCAACAGGACACGGAGCAGATAAAGGGCCCAAGGCTGTCGGGAGGAGGGAGGACTCTGGCGAGCTGCAGTTCTCCTGCCTGGGTTACAGCCCGGCTGGAGAGATGCGTGGAAATCCCTAGAAACTCTGACGTGACCACGCTGCCCAACGGGGGTTCACAGCCTCTCAGACCCAGCCCCGAGGTCCCTAAACAGAGATCCACGAGGCTGGGAGGAAGCAGGGGAACCCCTTCATCACACGTGCCCTGGGAACACACCCCACGGGGACGGCCCACCACTGCAGGCTTTGAGGCCTTCCTGTCTTTTTCGCGCCTCGGTCTCCCTCACCCTTCTTACCCCTGCCACCCACAGAAGGCCCGCCTCGCCCGGATCCGTGTGGCCAAGACCGGCAGCTCCAACGCCTACCTGCACAGCAAGCGCAACGGACTCCTCAACGAGGCGCTGGAGCTGATGGTAGTGTCGGGGCCTGGGCTGGGGCAGGAGGTTGAGGAGGGGCCTGGGCTGGGGCAGGAGGTTGAGGAGGGGCCTGGGCTGGGGCAGGAGGTTGAGGAGGGCCCTGGGCTGGGGCAGGAGGTTGAGGAGGGGCCTGGGCTGGGGCAGGAGGTTGAGGAGGGGGCCTGGGCTCGGGCAGGAGGTTCAGGAGGGCCCTGGGCTGGGGCAGGAGGTTCAGGAGGGCCCTGGGCTGGGGCAGGAGGTTGAGGAGGGGCCTGGGCTGGGGCAGGAGGTTGAGGAGGGCCCTGGGCTGGGGCAGGAGGTTGAGGAGGGGGCCTGGGCTGGGGCAGGAGGTTGAGGAGGGGCCTGGGCTGGGGCAGGAGGTTGAGGAAGGGGACCTGGGCTGGGGCAGGAGGTTGAGGAGGGGGCCTGGGCTGGGGCAGGAGGTTGAGGAGGGGGCCTGGGCTGGGGCAGGAGGTTGAGGAGGGGCCTGGGCTGGGGCAGGAGGTTGAGGAGGGGGCCTGGGCTGGGGCAGGAGGTTGAGGAGGGGCCTGGGCTGGGGCAGGAGGTTGAGGAGGGGCCCTGGGCTGGGCAGGGGGTTGAGGAGGGGGCCTGGGCTGGGGCAGGAGGTTGAGGAGGGGGCCCTGGGCTGGGGCAGGAGGTTGAGGAGGGGCCTGGGCTGGGGCAGGAGGTTGAGGAGGGCCCTGGGCTGGGGCAGGAGGTTGAGGAGGGGCCTGGGCTGGGGCAGGAGGTTGAGGAGGGGGCCTGGGCTGGGGCAGGAGGTTGAGGAGGGGCCTGGGCTGGGGCAGGAGGTTGAGGAGGGGGCCTGGGCTGGGGCAGGAGGTTGAGGAGGGGGCCTGGGCTGGGGCAGGAGGTTGAGGAGGGGGCCCTGGGCTGGGGCAGGAGGTTGAGGAGGGGCCTGGGCTGGGGCAGGAGGTTGAGGAGGGGCCTGGGCTGGGGCAGGAGGTTGAGGAGGGGCCTGGGCTGGGGCAGGAGGTTGAGGAGGGGGCCTGGGCTGGGGCAGGAGGTTGAGGAGGGGCCCTGGGCTGGGGCAGGAGGTTGAGGAGGGGGCCTGGGCTCGGGCAGGAGGTTGAGGAGGGGCCTGGGCTGGGGCAGGAGGTTGAGGAGGGGCCTGGGCTGGGGCAGGAGGTTGAGGAGGGGCCTGGGCTGGGGCAGGAGGTTGAGGAGGGGGCCTGGGCTGGGGCAGGAGGTTCAGGAGGGCCCTGGGCTGGGGCAGGAGGTTGAGGAGGGGCCTGGGCTGGGGCAGGAGGTTGAGGAGGGCCCTGGGCTGGGGCAGGAGGTTGAGGAGGGGCCTGGGCTGGGGCAGGAGGTTGAGGAGGGGCCTGGGCTGGGGCAGGAGGTTGAGGAGGGGGCCTGGGCTGGGGCAGGAGGTTGAGGAGGGGGCCTGGGCTCGGGCAGGAGGTTGAGGAGGGGCTGGGCTGGGGCAGGAGGTTGAGGAGGGGCCTGGGCTGGGGCAGGAGGTTGAGGAAGGGGCCCTGGGCTGGGGCAGGAGGTTGAGGAGGGGGCCTGGGCTGGGGCAGGAGGTTGAGGAGGGGCCTGGGCTGGGGCAGGAGGTTGAGGAAGGGGCCCTGGGCTGGGGCAGGAGGTTGAGGAGGGGGCCTGGGCTGGGGCAGGAGGTTGAGGAGGGCCCTGGGCTGGGCAGGGGGTTGAGGAGGGGGCCTGGGCTGGGGCAGGAGGTTGAGGAGGGGGCCTGGGCTGGGGCAGGAGGTTGAGGAGGGGGCCTGGGCTGGGGCAGGAGGTTGAGGAGGGGGCCCTGGGCTGGGGCAGGAGGTTGAGGAGGGGCCTGGGCTGGGGCAGGAGGTTGAGGAGGGGCCTGGGCTGGGGCAGGAGGTTGAGGAGGGGGCTGGGCTCGGGCAGGAGGTTGAGGAGGGGCCTGGGCTGGGGCAGGAGGTTGAGGAGGGGCCTGGGCTGGGGCAGGAGGTTGAGGAGGGGGCCTGGGCTGGGGCAGGAGGTTGAGGAGGGGGCCCTGGGCTGGGGCAGGAGGTTGAGGAGGGGCCTGGGCTGGGGCAGGAGGTTGAGGAGGGGCCTGGGCTGGGGCAGGAGGTTGAGGAGGGGGCCTGGGCTGGGGCAGGAGGTTCAGGAGGGCCCTGGGCTGGGGCAGGAGGTTGAGGAGGGGCCTGGGCTGGGGCAGGAGGTTGAGGAGGGCCCTGGGCTGGGGCAGGAGGTTGAGGAGGGGCCTGGGCTGGGGCAGGAGGTTGAGGAGGGGCCTGGGCTGGGGCAGGAGGTTGAGGAGGGGGCCTGGGCTGGGGCAGGAGGTTGAGGAGGGGGCCTGGGCTCGGGCAGGAGGTTGAGGAGGGGCCTGGGCTGGGGCAGGAGGTTGAGGAGGGGCCTGGGCTGGGGCAGGAGGTTGAGGAAGGGGCCCTGGGCTGGGGCAGGAGGTTGAGGAGGGGGCCTGGGCTGGGGCAGGAGGTTGAGGAGGGGCCTGGGCTGGGGCAGGAGGTTGAGGAAGGGGCCCTGGGCTGGGGCAGGAGGTTGAGGAGGGGGCCTGGGCTGGGGCAGGAGGTTGAGGAGGGCCCTGGGCTGGGCAGGGGGTTGAGGAGGGGGCCTGGGCTGGGGCAGGAGGTTGAGGAGGGGGCCTGGGCTGGGGCAGGAGGTTGAGGAGGGGGCCTGGGCTGGGGCAGGAGGTTGAGGAGGGGGCCCTGGGCTGGGGCAGGAGGTTGAGGAGGGGCCTGGGCTGGGGCAGGAGGTTGAGGAGGGGCCTGGGCTGGGGCAGGAGGTTGAGGAGGGGGCCTGGGCTCGGGCAGGAGGTTGAGGAGGGGCCTGGGCTGGGGCAGGAGGTTGAGGAGGGGCCTGGGCTGGGGCAGGAGGTTGAGGAGGGGGCCTGGGCTGGGGCAGGAGGTTGAGGAGGGGGCCCTGGGCTGGGGCAGGAGGTTGAGGAGGGGCCTGGGCTGGGGCAGGAGGTTGAGGAGGGGCCTGGGCTGGGGCAGGAGGTTGAGGAGGGGGCCCTGGGCTGGGGCAGGAGGTTGAGGAAGGGCCTGGGCTGGGGCAGGAGGTTGAGGAGGGGCCTGGGCTGGGGCAGGAGGTTGAGGAGGGCCCTGGGCTGGGGCAGGAGAGAAAGGAAGGTCTGTTTTCTCTTACGCGGGCACCAGCGCTCCCATCCCGGAGCCCAGTTTGCACGGTGAGAAGGGTATGTTTCAAATGTTCCCGTGGTGAAAGCCCCCGCCTATGTCTCCCACAGGATCATCAACACTAGGGCCTTCTGGCTGAAAGCTAATACGGTATCTAGTGCCCCTAAAACTTGGCTCATTCAGGTTTTCGGGTGTCTTCCTACCTTCTGTGGAAAAACGAAGAGCTGGAGAGAGGAGGACCCTCCCGCTCTGTCTCAGTCTGGCCTTTGCTTACTAGGGTACCCCGGAAGAGGAGCAGATGGGCAAGACCACCTCACTCATCGAGAGCCAGCACCATCACCTGCTGCACTGCCTGGAAAAAACCACTGTGAGTCCCTGCCCGTGACCACCTCCCTCCTCGCCCCTGGCCAGACCCGGCCTCAGGGTCACACTCAGTGAGCCCCGGCGCTCACACCCTCGCCTGGGCCCTGCTTCAGAAACATGCCCCCTTCGCGTGGAACAGCAGAGGTGAGGTGTCCAGCAGCCCTCAGGAGGCCGCCGCGGGGGAGATCACCAGGCTGGGGGCCAGCTCTGGGCCGTGGGGCTGGTACCCTGAGTTCTCCCCACACACCCCTACACGGTCTCTAGCGCCTTTTCCCAGGGGCTGAGGGCTGGGGCGCTGCCTATCAGTGTCTCAATCTAGGGGGTCCCCTTTCCAAACCAGGGCGGAGCCTGCGCTAGATTCCACAGCAGAGTAGAAAGAGCTGCCGTCTGCGGCCTGCCCGGGGGCTAGGCTGGCACATCTGTGGGCTCCCCTGCTCGCTGCGCTCCCTTAGAACTGGAGCGAGTGAGGGACGGAGGCAGCGCACCTGCTCCTGCAGCCTGGGGTTCTGCCGGCACCGCCCCCCTCCCAGGCGCCCTGCAATCCCCAGGGAGTCCAGACTCTGAAAGGCAGATTGTCAGAACAGCCGTGGTGTGGGGCGCCATGGCTGCCGCGGCATGATGCTTGTGCCTCTCCAGCAGGCGAAGGAAGGGCAGTAGGGCCAGCCCCAGACCCTTTGGCAAAAAGTGTGAGGAGCAGTAAGGAGGGAGGGGAACCAAAGCGAAACCCTCTCCTGGAGCTTCCTAGAGACTCCCCCCCTCCCCCCCCCCAGTGAGCCTGCAGTTGGGCTCAGCGCATGAAAGAAGGAACTTTCTGCACGTTCCTACCCTGTCCTCCCAGCTGCTGAGGAATAGACATTAGACGACGCCTAAGCTGAGCCAGATGTGGCCGCGTGGATGGAGTTGAAGCTAATGAGAATTTCCAAAGTGGAAACGATCGTTTCCAGGATCGATCAGCTCCTGCTCCGAGCCCAGCCCCGCGCGTGCATGTCTAGGATTTCCCTCAGCGACTCCGAGCTTGCCAAAGGGGGAGACCCAGGCCCGACTGCCCTTTCCAAGTTGCACGTGCTACGTGGAATGCGTCCGTGGAAAGGACATGGTGGAAACCCCGGGGTGGGAGGGCTGGAATGTCGGCATTGGAGAAATGGAATTTGGGACTGGAGGGCCGGAATGCTGGCGCCCAGGGGGTGGAATGCGGAGCTCCAGGGAGGAATGTCGGTCCCGGTGGTGCTGGGGTTCGCTGGAATGCTGGGCTTTAGGGGAGCAATGTCGGGAGGGAGGAGACCGAACGTTGGGTTGGATGGAGTCGAGCCAGGGGTGGACCGTGGGGCCGGGAGAAGGGGCTGGAATGCTGGGATGGAGACACTGAATGTCACGCCGAGCTCGGGAATGCCGGAATGTACAATCAATGGTGTTTTTATCTTCTGTTGGCATGTTGTCCCGTAGGGGTTGTCCTATCTTGTGGATGATCCCCTGTTATCTGTACGAACCTCCACCATCAAGGTATAACTTTTTAAAAATTCAATTACTGTTGTTCTCTCTGGTTCTTCTGAGTCTGTGGATGCCTCTCTTTTTAGTCCCCGGTCTGACCCTCTGCATGTGCTGTTGGTTCTCCCGGGCTTACCCCACCTCGCTGTCACGCCTAGTACCAGCTCAGCCTTCCAGTTTTGTGTGTGCTGAACTACGCAACTGCCTTTCTGATTCCTTCTCAGACCTCCCCAGGGGCTCGGAGGGGGTGGTGGGACATGGCACCGGCCTGGGATCCTGAGTGTCCACGCTCCCCACTGCCTGGCCTCCCCAGCTCCACGGGGGCTCCGGGGGTTGGCTGCCGGGGCTGGTCTCTCTCTGACAGTTTCCATGCTCCTCTTTGCAGACCTTCTCCCCACTCTCACAGCCTTGGCCGGACCGCTAACGCGTAGATTCTTAAGTAGCCTTGGCCAAGCGGCCATTCTTTTCCTATTCTGGGTTCGGTTCCACCCCACCCTCATGGCATCCAGTCAGAAAGCTCTTAACAGTCCCCCGCCAGGCTTACACTTGACTTAGGGAATTCCATGTCTCCGGGCATATTAAGGATCCGTGTCCCACAATCAGTGGGGGTGGGGAAACAAAACAATAAATCACATCCCTGATCATTTGACCCCAGCAAAGCTCTCCCAGTTCAACGAACAATCCAGCACCTTTGAAAATGTATGACTCACCCTCGCCCAAGATTTATAGGGTCTCACCCATAAATCCAGGGAGGACTCCCTACCCTACTTGCCACCCATCACCAGTGACTCCCTACAGGACAGTCCCAGAGATCCCGTGCAAAGTAAAGTCTTTGCGTCTGGCCCTGATGATGCCACTGAACCCCCTCGAGTCCTCTGTCACCCTTTCAGCTCAAAGCTGTAGCCGGAGTGGACATGATGTTACAATTTAACAACTGTTGTCCTGCCCGGCAACCTGATGTCCAGGGATGCCCATGGGACTCTTTCCTCTCTCGGTGCCGTGGTGCACTGCCCCTTCTGAATGCTTATCTGTGCCCCAGGCAGCTGGCAGCCCTTCTCTCAAGGCCCAGCGCAGGGTCAGGCAGCCACACAGTGTGGGGGCTCAGCCCCTCCTCCCTTCTCCTTTTCCTACCTCTCCTTCTGCTCCCCACAGAACCACGAGTTTATTGACGAGCAGATGTTTGAGCAGAACTGCATGGAGAGCTCAATGCAGAACTACCCGTCCACCAGGAGTCCGTCCCTGTCCAGCCACCCAGGCCTCACCACCACCTGCTGCTCCCGTCGCAGTAAGAAAACCACACACCTGCCCAAGTCGAACCTGCCAGCCACCCGCCTGCGCAGCATGCAAGAGCTCAGCACGATCCACATCCAGGGCAGCGAGCAGCCCTCCCTCACGACCAGGTGGGTGGCTTCCCTCCCCGGACCCCAAAGGCTTGAGGCATTCCCAGAATTAAACAAACCTCAGCATTAGGAGACCCCATCAGTCCTCGAGGCCTCCCTCCCCCTTATCTGACACATGAGTTCTAGCACACCACTTCCCCCCAGCTTCCTTCTCACCCCAGCAAGGAACCCAAAGACCCTTCCCATTTTTGAAGGCCACTGTAGCAGGCCCACTGTGGGGCGAGATACCAGGGGGAAAATTCCCCAAATGGATCTCCCTGGTGCAAAGAATAGACCAAACATTTTCTCAAGGATATAACTTCCACGGCCGTGTCACATATGGTTGTCCCAGACCGACTTCCCCTGGCTTCTCTGCTTGGAGACCACCTCCGCTACTTCCAGTAAGAGGCAAGGGATTTAGAGAAAGCAAATGCCAAATGCCAGGAAATAGGTGAAATCCCCGGGGGAGAAGGTGTATCCTCACGAATTCCAGCGCCCTAATCGACATGACCTTGCAGCGGTCACTGGCGGGTAGTTGAGGAATAACAATCAGGATGGCTGACTACCACAGGCAGGCCAGGAAGCTTAGGCACCCAGGCCAAGAGGATTGCCAGCGGCTCACATCGACTCTTTTTTTTTTTTTATCTTAGTCGTTCCAGCCTTAATCTGAAAGCAGACGACGGACTGAGACCAAACTGCAAAACATCCCAGATCACCACAGCCATCATCAGCATCCCTACCCCCCCAGTGCTAACCCCAGAGGGGGAGAGCCGGCCACCCCCTGCCAGCCCAGGCCCCAATACGAACATTCCTTCCATAGCCAGCAACGTGGTCAAGGTCTCTGCCTTGTAAAAGCACTGGACAGAGGGCCAGTGTGGGTAGTGGGCGTGAGGGGGGCTGGCATGTTGGTGGGTGGCCATTGGGACCACTCCCGCCCCCTTCCCCCACTATTTCTGCCTGCCCCCATTGCACCCCTAGCACTGAAACCTGTGCCTGGAAGGAAAAAGAGGCAGCAGAGGGCACCTGAGCTTCACTGCTGCGGGCGTGGACTGAGCCCTGTGATACTGCAGCTCACTGGGCAGAGAAGGGAGGGTGGGGGGCAGGGGATGGGACGCGGGGGATAGAAGGCTGCGTGCCAGGACAGGCCTGGAGGGGGCCTCAGACCAAATATCAGTTGTTTCTGGACACCCCAGTGAGGAAAATACCAGACCGAGAGCAGCACAGAGGCCGAGTTGTCACATGCAAAACAGGAAGAAAATATAACACTGTGTATTTAAGCACCTTTTTCAAGGCTCTTAATGGATAATATTTATTCATGGGAAAAGGTGGAAAACAAAAACACCAATGGATTTTTGTGAAATGTTTTTCTCCATGGACCCGATACCTTTGAACCAAAACAATGCATTTTGTGAGGGTTTTGTTTTTTTTTTTTTTTTTTTTTCCTTTTATAGCAAAAGCTTTTAGGCCAAGAAGTCAGGTACTGAGTTCTCTTTCCAGTTCCCCAGGTGGGTGAGGGCAACTGAGCCGGGCCCCACTGCGCAGTTGACCTTCACAAAGCTGCCAGGTGACCACACAGCAATCCTTACCCTCTTTGTCTGTCTGTCCTGTCTCTGCGTCTCTGTCCCTCTCTGCTTCACCCGGCTGTTTCTCTGTCTCCATGTGTCTCCACATGAGCCTCAGTGATCCTGAGAGCAAGGAAGGCCAGGCCCCGGCAGACTCGCCTGGCATTTACACTGTGGGAATGCACTTGTGGAAAGCAAAAACGGGGAGAGATTAGGGATGAAGGAAGTCCACCTTCTAGAACAAAGGGCTTCCTTGGTGGTTGGAAGCACTGATGTCTGCAGTTTCGGTTTCTGGGGAGGAAAGGGTATGACTGGATTGGTCACACTGGGATCTTGAAAATGGAAGCAGCCAACACCTGAGAAGCGCCGCCGCGGCTGGTGTGCCAGTGAGGGGAGCAGAAGCGCTGGAATCACAGCTGCGGCCGGCCCCTGTGGCCTCTTGCTCTGTCCCCCTTTCGGGACCCACCACAAAACCCATCCAGAGCTCTGCTGAGGGGCCCCACAAACAGTTTCCTACGGAGATGGAGATGGCGCTGGCGTGGGAACCGAGCTTCTGACTTCCCGCGCCTGAGGCAGCTCCCGCGCAGAGGCTGCAGAAGGCGAAGGCTGGGTGCCTCACGAAGGATGCTCCAAAGTGTGAAAGCAAGAAATTCTAGGCGATTCTTAGATGCCTTGAGGTCTGAAGAGTCTTCAGGCCTGATGTGCCTGAAGATGGTGAAAATGGGGGAGAAGCCTGATCACCTCTGTACAAGTGAAGGGAGTGGATGTTATTTCTGGAGAACCTGGAAAATGATCCTATTCCAGTGGCTTGCACCCTGGTGGGCTGGGAACAGCACTTGTGGCATCCTCCGATCCATTTCCACTGCTTACAGCAGAGCAGATGGGCCTCAAGGTTAGTGACAAACCCTCTCCTGCCCTCCCCAACTCCCAGCCTCCTACTTCGATCTCTCTGCCCTGGGCTCTAAGACTCGCAAGCTCCTTCCCCACTCTGCGGCTTAGTGGTTAGCTGTTCCACTGTAGGCCCAGAATTCTCTGCCCACCAGCTAGAAGAGTTTTATTAGCCAAGAACCTAAAACCACCTTTTGTGGACTTCACTATGAGCCCAGCTCTGTTGACCTTATAGGAGCGGGAGGCCCAAAGGAGATGCGATGGCATCTAACCTGAAGGTGGGCAGAAGGGCAGAGGAGAGGAAATCTTCTATCTTTATCTCCTTGTGTTTATCCACACTGACCACTGACTGAGTTCTCTCCCTGGGTGTGGCCTCAAGGATTTCCCCCTAACCTGGGGATGGGTTTTTTCCGGCCGTTTGAGACTATGTCTACATGGGCAGAAAAGCTTTATAACTACAAAGGAATATGTGTGTACACACAACCAACCTAAACGAATCTGAGAACAATTTCTAATCCATTCACTCTGTACACGTATCTCACTAGGGAAGACAGAGGGCTGGGATGGACTCCATTTGGAGGAGGGGCAAAGGACTAGAAAAGGAACGTTTCTCTCAAAAGGTGTGTATTGGAACCAAGATGGGAAGGTCAAAGTATCTTAAATTATACATCACAAGGTCTGAGTGGGGCAGGGAATGAGATGAATAGGAATGTGGCTTCATGCACATAAAGAGTTAGAATAGTAGAGTTAGAATAGTCACTGATCCACTGCAGGACCTATTTGATGGTGCACCAAGAAAGCATATCAGTGGTTCCCATAACAATGAATGAGCACATCTTTAAAATCACGTCCCACACAATAGACTACGTTCTTTTGACCCCGATGAACTGAATGTTTTGTATCCCTTTGATTTCATATCCAAAGCTCACATTATGCCAGTTGCTAAAAAACTAATAGATATTCTTCATCCCTAGCCCCAGTGTAGCCTTGGCCAGGAAAAACTACCAGCTCAACCCTGGTCCAATGGAGGGTGTCAACCCAGGAAATTTAATATTCAATTTCAATTGCATTAGAATATGCCAGACTACGTTGCTAAAAGGCATATGCAAGTAAACAAGTGGGCCAAAGTGTGCTAGAATACTATTTGTTTAGTTAATTGGTGTAGTTAAGTCTAACTCATCGGTGAATAGATGACAAACCAGGACATGAAGGTTTCCTGGGGACAGCGGCTACCTGGTATGACGATCACTTCGGCACAACTGAAGATTCCCAAAACCACCTATTCCACTGAATCCCACTCAGCACTAAAGAGGGTTAAAAAAAAAACCAAAACCAACTTCACAGCTTATCAAGAGTATATGGGAACTAGAAAAGATGAAAGAATATCTAGTTCAATTGCCAATGTAGAAAGCTGAGGCCCAGAGAAATTAAGTGACTTGCTCAAGGTCAGAGCTTAAAGACAGAGCTGGGACCAGAACACAAGTCTCATGGCTGTTAGACTGATGCTTCTCCACTGCACCCACTACCTCTGCGAGCAGTGACGCTTCTGAGATCCATCAAAGAGCACGTGCTATAATTAGAGGCATAGTCTTCAGTAAAGGTCAGTGCTACTTGGACAGAGCCCTTGGAAACCACCAGATTGTGCTAAACCAAACCATACTTTGGAAACCACCACTCCCTGGCTAGAATCAGCTACAGACTCTCAACTCTGTCAAAAATAACTTAGCAAATGAACAGTTGGGCTTTTTCAGTCAAATACTATCTTCTCTCTATGGAGATAGGGCTAGGTCAATGTGACATTTGAAAAGCATAGCTTTTATAGTCCTTCAAATTCTTTGTCCTCTTTATTATAACCTCTGGTGGTAGCAGGTCAAGGAACTATAAACCCTGATTCATAAGAGGAAAAATAGGCAGGAAGAAGCTGAGTGATTTATCCAAAGTCACTTTATGGCAAGTTAGGAGCAGAACTATGATTGCAATCCAGGGCTTAGATATTTTGTCCTGGAATTTTTCCTCCACATCATGTTCCATTACTTACACACCTGGATCTCAAGGGTGGCGATTACAGGAAGGAAGCATTTCCTTCAGAACCCTTAAGCAGGACCTCCAGAAGCGAACTATTTTCATAACTAGTGTCAAGCTCAGGACTAACTGCATTCCCTCACCCCCATCCCCTACCTCTCCCTCATCCCCTACCTCTCCCTCATCCTCTACCCGCTCCCTCACCCCCTACTTTCGTAACTAGTGTCAAGCTCAGGACTACCTGCATAGAATCCTGTTCAAAGACAGATGTTCTCAATGACAGTTGAATACGTTAAGTCACAGTCACGCCAGCAAGTAGGAAAACGAAATTAAGGAAGACAAAGAATTTCAATAGAAGTTAAAGCGGATGGTTAATGCTGACCCATGACTCACCAAGTCCACTCATGGATATGCTAAGGACTTTATCCAGTTTTCAAAGTATGATTCCTGGGGTTCAGGATCATGTCACTTACTTATTAGAATAGAAGCAAGGAAAAGTGTACACTGAAACATTAGGTACCTAGATTTTTTTTTCCTTGTCTGTTTTCAGACTTTGCAGAGGTAGTGGTTGAAATTGAGCTATTCCTAGATTTTGAGGTTATTAATGAATTCCAGTGGTCCAGGCTCCCTTATTTCAACTACCAGGTAACTACAAGGCAGAAAGAGTCCAATGATGTTTTAACCTAAGGCAATATTAGTTTCCCTTCCAAACTAGTTGGCACGGTAACCAGGACAAATAGGAACCTGAAAGACTTTTACTTTCCCTTTTTGATTTCCTTATGAAATCTCATCATTTGCAAAGCTTTAAAATGACTAGATGAAGGGAAAACATTGACTTGCGACCCTTGGAGCCCAAATAGCATCATGAAGAACATCATAAGAACTAAGAGAAAATGGCTATAATGAAAAGAAATAGCTTTAAAGGGTTCCTTTTGAATCTTTTCTATTCAGAATGTTGTTTTTTCTCATCAAGTGTGGGGATGTTTATCTTAGCAGGTTACTTACCTGCACTGGGTGATGTCACTCTACCCAGTGTAGGGCACTGACCCAAGTCTTCGGGGGAGAAGGGGCTCCTTGGACCAATGGACTATTTTACAAACCTAGGAGGTGGGAGGGATGGTATATTTTTGATAATCAAGACATTCCAATGTAATGTTTTCCTTAGAGCTCACCCCCCCATTAATGTTATCGTGAAAACATCAAGTGTGTTCTTTTCTATTTTCGTATAATAAATGGGCTTTGCTTATCAATATCACAATGGCAAAGAAGAAATACTGTACAAAACTGCAGGAAGATAAACGTGTGAAACCTTTCTACGGAAAAAAACTTTTGAGTTTCCTGTCGTCTTCTTTTGAAACTGTAGTGCATATGTTAAAACATGTATATCATTTACAGTACTGAGTCATGTGCCACTGCTGTACCTGATGTATCCAATCTGGATTAAACAAACTATGTGCCACAAACCCTAAAATGATTATGAATGTTTAATGCCATCTGTCCGCCCAAAGGCTCTGCTATACACTAGAAAACAGGGTCCTTTGAAGAAAGAAAGGCTTTCTACCTTGCTAGAGAAGTCATGAAATCTCAGAAGGTTGCTGGGTCTAGCCTCATCTTACCCCACCCTCCCTCAAGGCAAGCAACTCCTGTGTGACATCCCTGACAGTTCTAGCCTGCTGCATGCTTAAGCCATGGGTATTCACTAACAAGGAGAGCATTTGCTTGTCAACAGCTTGATTTTGAGGCTTAGCCCTGCATTATTGAAAATCCCCTGTTTGTGTCAGTGCTGGTTCTGCTGAGAATACAATGAAAAGCTACCCCTTCTGCTAAACCAATGTCTCAAACTAAAAAGCAAACAGAATTAAATGTATAGAGGCAGCAGAAAGCTTGGGGATCAGATGGAAGCTCAATTTTTGGTTCTACCAATTACTTGTATGACGTCCTACCACTCACTTTTCTCTTGGCTTCACTTTCCTCATCTTAAAAATGGCCGAACTGGATTAGACGTCTTAATGAGCCACTCTAGCCTTAGTGATTCTGACCTAGGTAGTAAAAGCAACAGGCATTTCACATTTCACCATAATGTGGCAATGGAACAGTGCAAAATCCTTTACACTTCCCCAAAACAACCATATCTCAACCAACCAGATCCCAAACTGTAAAATGGAGCATCAGGGAAATGCATGATGCCTAAAGGCCCTAGAAGTTGGCTGTAAAATTCATTTCAATCACTGATGCTCATATCCATATCTCCCACTAGGTGTCACCACAGACCCACAGCTCAAATAATCTTCCAACAAAGTTAACTGGAAACCAGATGTGCGTGATAAGCATTCTTTTTCATTAAAATCACTAACATCAACTGGAACATAGATGCTCGTTCATGGAGGTACAAAATATTCTGCCAAGACAAAGAATAGCTTTGGGATGGAGTTCCGATGTCAAGAAAACCAGACGTTAAGAGGTATTAAATAACTAGTACAAGGTAAAATAAAAAATAGCAGCAGAACATACACTCCACTGCACCAGAACATTCTCAAGTGAACTAAAACCTACCTGTGGTCCCTTGATAGAGGATAGAGACATGCATTTAGTCTAACAATTTCAAAGGAAAGTCATTTCTATACAAAGATAGCCACATACACAAATAGCAGATTCCTTCCACAGCCACCACTGTAAGTGCCTTCCTTAGTTGGGAAGATAATAGCTGTCATTTTCCTAGCAAATGCTTATGGAAAAATGAAGCTACTAGTCTTTTCGTGCGGTATGCATCTGATCACCTCCAGCTTATTTTTCTGTTTAAAAAATAGAAATGCAAACACAAAAGATAAACCTAAAGAGAGAATCCAATTAATTTCACTGCTAATAGGTAATTTCATCTCTAATTAAGATGCTGCAATATCCTAATTAAAATCCCTTAGCAATGAAAAAAAAAAACCCTTTGCAATAACTATGAGCTGGGCTGCATTGTGGGGAAAAGGGCCAGGGGGAAAAAAGGTAGGTTCAATTATATGGCAATGACAGGATTTAAATGTGTAATTAGTCTACTTCTTAATGGCATACTGGACCTAATTATAGATTGCTATTTGTAGTCTTAATTCATTCTAATTTGGAGATACACATACAACATACTGACACATGTAAAAATAAAGCCTAGCATTGCCCAATCCAAATGATAAGAATCCAAGTGAAACACTTTAGGATTGTTCTGTGAGTGTTGAACAGTAAATGACAATTGCTGTGGATGGTTGCTGACAGCCCCAGAGAAAAATGTTCATACTTCTCAGACAAGTATGTACACAGGAAAGAGCTTTCCTTTCTACAAATACATTATCTCCATCCCTAATAGGTTGGCTCACCACAAATCGAATTCGCAGAAAGGTCTGGGAACAAAATATGTGATCGTGAAGACAGCCACAGAGAATAAAGACTGTCACTTCCAATTACATTCTTCAATATCATCATTTATAGGTGAACTATCTTAATGGCTGCTCCCTTTGGATCCAAGCATTAGAAATAAAAAGTGGAGGAACAGTCCTAGAAAACACAAGATTAGGACACACTGTGGGAAGAGTTTGACAAGAATTCCGCCTTCCGAAAAATACTTAGCGCTATAACGTCCCTTTAGCCTACCCAGAGAGCAGGGCAGTTAACCTGGGTTCCACAGTTGGTCTTCAGGGGGCAGTCAATGAGCCCTTTGAAATTACATACAAATGCTTATGGAATGAAAAATTTTCTGGAATAAATCTACAGCTTTCATCATTTATAAAAGGACCGAAGAACCAACTCTTCCTGAGAAACAAAAATAAGGTTACCACTGATGACCCTCAGTAAATACACAGTGAAAGTGGGGACAGCTTTCACAATCTCAAAAACAAAACATTTAAAAGATAACCAGGCCTCCCTGGTGGCGGAGAGGTTCGGTCTCAGAGCTATCATAGCAAGAGTACAACAGCCTGAGTTCAATCCCACACACGGCGTGGCAGACCTCTCCCGTGTCCCCTGCTGCTCCCCTCAGCAGTGTATTCAGTGGATCTGCCTGTACTGCTCCCTGCTTTTTCTGGTGAATCCTCTCAACTCTTCCCTCCCACCCCAACACCTCTGGCCTATACCCCAGTTCTTCTATGCATAACTAAAGCTTCAAAAAAAAAAAAAAAAGAGGTGAATAACAAACAGATCACAAATTTAGCTCAGTTTATATTTTTACTGGAAGTAAATGGCATCAAATCAAGCATCTTTCAGAAAGTCTGAAGCAATGTTTATTCCTTCCGGCCTAAACCTAAAAGGACTTTCTGATCATCCACGCTACAAATTTCTACAAGAACACACCTATATGGAAATGCAGTCCAAGCCTTTTGTAAAGAACTCCACAGCATAAACTAACATTATTTTCAAATTTCAACTGTTTTTATTTAAGTAAGCAGTAGCATATTAAAGCTTTCTTTTTGAAATGGCTTATAGAAAATGGTACCCTAGAACCTTTGAGTTTTATGGCCCAAAAATTCTTTCAAGAATCTGACCCATGAAAATTCTTTATAAAAAAGGCCTAAATCAAAACAATCTGAAAAATAGATGTCACCTAGCAGAAAGTCTCAAGACTTTTCAAGTTCCTCAAAAAAGCCACCATATGCTATTCTATCATAAGTCAAGAGGACGATTATCTAAAGGTTTTGCTGGCTGGTGTCTCCAGGTGGTTTGAGGCAAATCTATAATCACTGGTTGCCACGCATCATTTCTTGTAGGTAAACAGTGTTCATGTGATAGGCCGCCATGCAACTCGGGTGCCTCTGAGCATTCCAGTAGTATGACTGAGAGGCAGCAGCGTAGTATTCCTGCCATGCCCTGTAGTAAGCTCTCCAGTACTCCTCATAATCCTGGTAGGTGTCAGAGAAACTCGGGTGCGTTTGCCCATGGCAGTCATACCAACTGTCTTCCTGCGAGTCTGTCTGCAGCCGATAGGAAGACCGCCTAGGAAGGTTTCTCCGGCTCTGCTTAGCTCTCTGGCTTGCCCCCTCTTTATGCCTCGCCTTTATTGGAATTTCCGACGGCTCGTGATACTCTACGAGATTAGGGGTGCCATTTCCATTTACAGGTTGTTCCAAAGTGAGATGGGCATTCACAGAAGTAGATTCAGAGTCTTTCTGCTGAGTGTCAGAAGAAATTTCCACGTATGACTTGTTTCCTTTGCTCTGAGAAGAGGTCCTTGAGCTGTAAGAATCGCTGTCGCTCTCAGAGTCTCCAGACTGGCTACTACTTGCCAGAATCTGTGTTCTCTCTTCAGTAATTCTATTTCTGACAAAACCATTTTGAGGATTCACAGTCTGGTCCCCTGGACCTGTGTAATGCCTAATGATCTCCACAGGTTTCTCCAACCCCTCTTTAATATAGTGTTCATAATCCTCCACCAGTTCTGCAAAAGTGAAAGTACATGGCAGATGGATTTTAAAGGAAGACAGACAAGGAATTTTGGGGAGTGACACAGGCAATGCTTCTTTGCCCTGCTGCTGACTGTGAGCAGTATTTTCAACAGGGGCCTGAGCAGAATTCTTCACTTGCTCGTCCAGTTGCACGGCCCCGCCCAGGCCTCGCGGTGGCTCTGCTTTTTCTGTAACTCCGCAATCTGAATGGCTTTTCGCAGGAAGCTTCTGTTTGGCGTTATTTTTTGATTTGACTGATACTGAAGAGACAGAACTATTTCTAGGTGAAACCACGTGGTTACCATGAGTTTTCTGAGTTTGAAAGGTTCTCTCTATTTTTTGAATTTGCTTTTTTAGGTGCTGGGAAGGTACGCTTGCCAGGTCACATGTCTGCACAGCTGCTTTAACCTCCACATCACAATCCAAACACTCTTCCATCAGACCGGGAGGAATGGGATCTACATAAAAGAAATTAAGAAGTATTGAAACTCTCAAACGCCCTAAACTAGTATTTTCCGCATGATTTTATAAAGTTTTCCATGGTCAAATAAAGTTAAGAAACAAAGTATACTAATAATATACGAAGAGGCTTAAATATGTTTCTACTTTAAAAGATCTAAGCAATCTGGCAGTGTAGAAATCTGTCTCAAAATACGCAAGACCCGCCCCACATGCACACGCAACACCTCCCCACCAACCTGACAGGGTCACTGAAGCGATTCTCCCATCTCTTCTCTTCTCTCTCCCCAAACCCTCCCTTATCTCACTACTGCTGACACAAAACAAAATATAGAAAATAAGACTGTCCTCCACAAAGGTTATCAACTGGGAAACAGTACAACTGCAACTCTGTACCAAATAAATCACCCTCTACTCCACCCTATACTCCACCAAGGAGGAATCACTGCCTCCGGCTGTGGAAAGAACATCTCTCTGGGGAGGAAGCTGGATGACAGTACAAAGACCTGAGGTACCTACAGCACTTACAAAGTTTTCAAAAACTTGCTGGCTCTGGCTCTCTAAATTTCCCACTCCCTCCAAATGTGACAGCTTCTTTCCACCTGAATAATCACATCTTTCCAAAGTATGATCAATTTTCATCTTAGGCAGACAGAATACACAAAGCCCTGCTCTACAGAGATCTTGCCTATCGGCTATTGGCATTGGTGCTCCCTGTGTCTGTACACACTGCTTAAACCCTCAGATCTGGATACTTCAGCAAGGGCACTAGATTCTCTGCTGAACTGATCCTTTAAATAAGCCTGATTCCTACTAAGGTCACATCTCTTGCTTGCACAGGCCTACCGCACAAGCCAATTTCCCTCCTCGTCTTGCCCCAGGAAACGCATCTAGCAGTCTGTTGTCACACACTTCCTAGCCCAATATAGATCTAACACCATGAATATCATTTTCTCAAGATTCCGGATCTGTTAACATTACATAAAAATCCAAATATGTCATTTTCCAGTATCCAAAGACAAATTTTATTTTGGTTACAAGACACTAGTATGAATCCTACCAGAAGTCTTAACCCTTTTCCAACCTTCAATTTGTTTTTTCCCACATTTAATATCCGAGAGATCACCAACAGACTTTTATACATAGAACTGACACAAGAACTCAACTGAACTTAAAAACCACCTACTCTACAAGCAAATATATTGTAAAGCAGGACATAAGCTTAAAGCAGTTAAAGAACTCTATTAAAAGATCATAAAGTGGGCCTCCCCGGTGGCACAGCAGTTGAGCGCTGGGTTGCGAAGCTGCCCGCAGCCTCTGCAGCGCCGGTTCAATCCCCAGCCGCCGGGCGAGGGTCCCATATGGCGTGCAGACCTCTCCTGCTGCCTGCTGCTCCCCTCAGCAGTGTACTTTGTCAGTCTGCCTGCTCTGCTCCCCGCTCTGGCTCTGGTGAATTCTCTCACCCTCCCGCGCTTCTGACTGTGCCCAGTGCTTGTGTAAATAAATAAATAAATCTTGAAAAAAAAATCATAAAGTAAGTTACTGCAAAGCAGATCTACTAGAATCCACAGGATCCCAGAACTGGACTTAACTAATCACTTATGGAGTTAAATATAAACTGACGAAACAATCACTGTCTTATTTTTCCAATAACTGCATTATAACCCATATTCTAGAAAGTCATGTATATACCATATAAGTTTACACACATATTATATACACACTAACATACATATATTTACATAGCTATCAATAAGCCATATTTCCACACACAAGAGTATTTTAGCATTTTTTGTTTTCAAGAGATCATTAAGTTTCAGACAAGCGTTAAGACGGCACTTTCAAAAAAGGAGCTTAATAAATAACTCTTAGCTTAATAAAAAACACTTCAAAATTTTCAAAATAGTATTCAAATTAAAGTACCATTGCTTCCCCATGACAACAAAAGATGGCATGAATTTCCTTCACAGCAATGTAAGAAATAAAATAGCCACGCTTACATAAAAGAACGAAATCAACTGCAAGGACATAAACTAAAAGAAATGAGCCTACACGGTGAGCTATTTTTCATATGTCAGTAGTTAGCTTGCAATCCACTCCCTGCTATTTGTTAGCTCTAAGACCTTAGGCAAATTACTTCTCTACGCCCCAATGTCATCCTCTATAAAAAGTAGGTAATAATAGCACATACCTCATACAATTGTTTGAGAATTAAATAAGTTTACATACATACGTGGAACAATACCCAACCAATGTAAGTACTCCGTAAGTTGTTATTTTTATTAGGCTTATCATTATTGTTTTGACAGCAAAATGAAGTATATGAAACATACCTGGTAAAGGAAGAAGGTTGATATTACATTTCTGGGCAATTTTCATCATCATATTTTCTTCTTCTCCCCGGCAACAGTAAGTCACTGTCAGTCCCAAAGTACCTAAAGCGCAAAGGGAATGGTAAGCAGTGAATCATTTTCACACAGATGACACACCAAGGTCACTTGTCACATCACAGATTCCTCCCCGTAAAGAATACACCCAAACTTTTTTTCTTTTACCAAAACGGCCAGCTCTGCCAATCCGATGCATATATGTCTCCCAATCCACTGGCACGTCCAGATTTACAACCAGATTCACCTTCTCAGCATCAATCCCACGGGAAGTCTTAAAGAACAGAGTGTTTGCATTAACTGTAGCATGACTATGAATGCACACTATACTATTCCTAGGTTCAAGAGCTAAATAAGAATAGGAGGCTATTTAGGAGCAAAAGAAAAGGAAATTCATTTTTAATAACTAATTTCAAGAATAAAGATGAGGGCTTCCCTGGTGGCGCAAGGGGTTAAGTCTCAGGACTATGAAGCTATCTGCAGCCACTGCAGCACGAGTTTGATTCTCAGCGAGGGAGCTGACCCAAATGTCGCAGCAGACCTCTCTTGTCTCACCTGCTGCTCCCCTCAGCAGTGTATTTCAGTGAATCTGCCTATTCTGTTCCCCACTCTGTCTCTGGTGAATCCTCTCACCCACCCCACACCTCTGGCTTGTACCTCAGTTCTTGGATGCATAAATAAAATAAACCTTAAAAAAAAAAAAAAAAATAAAGATGAAATATGAAACACAACCCTCAGCATTGCAGCATTGGAAAGATGATCATCTCTTGGTATACATGTGATATCCACCCACAAAAAAAAAAGATGAAATCTGTATGTCTGATAATAGAACATATGTCAAGATAGATTAGTCACCCAAACTGAACAGGAAATTTACCAAATCTGTGGAAATGAGGACTCTGCAATGAAACTGCTTCAGTTTAGCCATAGCATCAAGACGCTGATTCTGATTCATGTTGCCTAAAAAGAAAGTCATATAAAAGCAAGATAATACACACCTGTTAAATGCACAAAAATCAGAAATCATAACTCCCAATCTTAACCCTTTAAGCAACCCAACCGAAGTTACATATAAGGTATACAAGTCTAGGAAAATAAAATTCCATTAGCTGTGTTGAAATTTGGTGCTAAACTCTACTCTATAGTGAAAATATTGTTTCATTACTAAGCAATCTCCCCAATAGCGTACGATATAACCATAACTACACAAACTTAGGCTATCCCTTTAAAAACTAAGCTGAGACATAAATCAAGACTCAAAAAATGATCTCGCTGACCAAAAATTTCTTTAAAACTTTCATTCCTGTGAGGTGAGCAGTAATAATTTAGCTTTGTGTCAAAAATTAATCCCTCTTATCATTCTCCAAATCATAAAACAGTCTAATCAGGTTACTAATTCTTAATAATTTAATAATGACTATGTAAAGGAAGCAAAGTATTTCTCACTTAAAAACACACCTTTCTACAAAATTTTTAAGTTCCTCATGAGTATTTCCTAAGTTTTCGTTACATACCAAGTTAAAAAAAGGGTATCAATACATGAAATCCCAGTGAAAAATGAGCCGGAAATTTCCTTTACCCTGAAGATTCAGTGTAATTTCACAATCATAAGCTAACTCATAAAGTGTTACTTTTCCTCCTGATTTCAAGGAGACTTCAAGTCAAATACTAAACAAAGATTAAATAAGAAATGAATTTACCTGAAATGCACTCAGCAGGAAAGCCTTTAGAAGAAAGTATATCAGCCAAGTGTTGTGCTCTTTGAAAAATAACATAGAGGGTTGTAAGTTTGCAAATATCGTCCACACAGAGCTTTTAACTCACAGGTTCCCCAGGTGACCTCTTAAGGTACTTACCTGCTATGCAAATTAGAAAAGACTAAGGCCTGGTTAAATGGAATTCTGCTGAACAGTTCCTGTAAATGCTGAGTCTTTTCCTCAAAAATTTTATGGGCCAAAGGGTATGAATTGACAACTTTGTAATATTGCTTCAAACCTACAAAGAAGAGTCTTCCATTAAAACATATCTGCTAAGCCTAATAACAAACATGAAAACAATACCCAACTAGAAAAGGAAAGTTCCAGAACACGACCAGTAATGTGAAATATCCAGAATTTATTCATACCTATGAGACTTGGATCACTGGAATTTAGTCTTACAAATGTGGGCTCTCTCATATACTTTGTCAAAGCATTGGCCAAATATTCAGGGTAAGTAGCTGATACTGCCAACATCTGTTTACTGGCAGGTAAGGAAGAATAAATCCAACTGAAAAATAGAAGAAAAACACACATCATTTAGACAGAAATCACCACCTAGAAAAGTTAAAGACAGGTACTTTGGGGCATCATTTTAATAGTCAAGTTAATTATTTCTCTTACTTTATTTGCTCCTGGAAGCTGCCTTCTTCTAAAAGCTTATCTGCTTCATCAAGAATAAAGAGACGTACACTGCCTGGGTTCAGGTAGTCAAGTTCTATCAGTTGTTTAATTCTACCTAAATTTCAGAAACAAAAGTGAAACACCATGTATGTACAAACCACAGTTAACGTCTTTATTTACCCTCAGGTATATTGCTGAAATTCCTGATCTGGCCCTTATCATATGTTTATACACTAAACTAAAAATTAAAAATCTGAGTTCTGATCTTCCCTAAATGCATTATTTTTCCCTGAGGATTTCTCTCCAGTTAAGTCTCGAAACTGAACACTATTCATAGCAAAAGACTTAAACATTAAACACTGAATGCTAGATTCTGATTCATGGCTGACAGGTTAACAGAGAAGCAGATAATAACCCCAACCCAAAGCTTAGAAGGGCTTCCTAAAAACGATTTCATTCCTCTTCTTCTCAGAAGCCTATTCCATACTTGTTCATGAACACTTTTAGGAATAAAGAGTTCATAAATTCCATTAGTAATTCCAGTCATATATCTGTATCTCACTGGTCCATAACTAATACTCAAAATAATGAACATAGTTAACAGAGTCCCAAAGTCTTACTGCTACTTTAAAAATTCAGTTCCTTAAAAACCCCAGTTACGAATGAGCAATATCTTACCAGGAGATCCAACAGCAATATGACATTTTTTAAGTCTGGCTTTGTCTTGTGATAATGGAGTCCCTCCAATAAAGACATGACATTCTAAGCCTTCCATTTTGATTCCAATACTCGTGATAACAGAATGTATCTGTACAGCAATTTCTCTTGTTGGAGCCAAGATCAAAATCTAAAATAAAAAGTAAAATTATACTTTAATGAGTCAGCTGCCATTATAAAATGAACTTTCCATGCATGTGATGAATTTTTATTGACAAGGGAAACTTCCATTCATTCACTCATTCATGTATTCATTCAACAAATATTAAAGAATCTATTATGCACTAAGCAACATACAAGTTGATGGGAAGTCAAGAGTTAACAGTACAAAGTAAGCAATGTGGGAAAAATCCCTATCTGTACTCTCAAATAATGACAAAATTGACATACGTGGAGACTTACTCCATTTACGATGAGGTAATGACAGAAAGCGCCAAACTTCTAACTCTAATAATAAATCCTTGGTCACCATCCACACCGCCACCAAAGGCTCAACCATTTATTTGTATACTTCTCATGTGGCTTAACCCAATCACTTATCAAACATCTATCTCTGAGCAGCTACAGGTATTTTATCTGACCTGCAGTAATATTCACCTGAGTACTTAAATAAACTCACCTGAGTACTTAAATTTTCAAGGATAAGAGTGTCCAAAGCAATGGTGGAGAATACACAGGTTTTCCCAGTGCCAGATTTAGCTTGAACAATTAAATCTGGCAAGAGAAAAAAAAAAAAAAATCACCAGCCAGTAATGACCAGAGAAGCTTATGGTCCTCATGAAATCACAGAACTAGAACTCTCCAGATTTCCACTAGGCACCCTGCTTTCCAATAACTATCAAAACCCCATGAGCCCCTGTTCAAACACACCTTGCCCCTGAACCTCTACTGTTCCTCTTCTCAAACTTAGGACCATTTTTCAGAGCTGGAAAGAGCCTTAACAATTTGAAGTTGGGGGCCTCCCTGGTGGTGCAAGGGCTTAAGCACCGCACTATGTGACAATCCACAGCCTCTGCAGCACGAGTTTGATCCCAGGCCGGCCAGGGAGAAACCACATGGCGCAGCAGACCTCTCCTGTCTCCCCGCTGCTCCCCTCAGCAGTGTGTTTCAGTCAGTCTGCCTGTTCTGTTCCCTACTCTGTCTCTGGTGGATCCTCTCAACCCCCCACATCTGTGACCTGTACCCCAGCTCTTGTATGCATAAATAAATAAATCTTAAGGGGCCTCCCCGGTGGCGCAGCGGTTGAGTGCTGAGTTGCGAAGCTGCCAGCAGCCTCTGCAGTGCTAGTTCGATCCCGGCCACAGGGCGAGGGTCCCACTTGGCGTGCAGACCTCTCCTGCCGCCCGCTGCTCCCCTCAGCAGTGTACTTCGGTCCTTCTGCCTGCTCTGCTCCCTGCTCTGGCTCTGGTGAATTCTCTCACCCTCCCGCGCTTCTGACTGTACCCAGTGCTTGCATAAATAAATCAATCTTTAAAAAAAATAAAATAAAATGGCTAAGATGATAAAATAAAAAAAAAAAATTGAAGTTGGACAGCGCGCCTCTGTTGTACCCAGGGGGAAACTGAGGCTCCCAGAGAGCAGCGCCTTGGCCCTGGCCGAGCCCTGCCCCGGCGGCCGACCCGAGGCGCCCCCGCCCGCGGCCCCCGCCCCCGGGCCCCCCGCCCGGCCTCACCGAGCCCGCAGCGCCCCAGGGGGATGGCCTTGAGCTGCACCGGCGAGGGCCGCTCGAAGCCGGCCGCCCGCAGCCCCTCCAGCACCGGCCGCGACAGCAGCAGCGACTCGAAGTCCGCCGGCTCGGCCAGCAGCACGTCCCCGGTGCGAGTGCGCGGGCCGCCGATGTCGTGAGCCGTCCGCAGGCTCCGCGGCGGCCCGGGGCTCGGCTCCGGCCCCGGGGCCGCCTCGGCCACACGCTCCGCGGGCATAACCGTCTCCCCGGTCGCTAGGGCCGCCGGGGCTTCAAACGCCGCCGCCATGGTAGCCGCGCCGCCAGGTCTCGCGGGACTTGCGGACGGGAGGTGCGTCTGAGGCGAGAGGGAGAAAAACTTTATTGGCAGTCTCCTTCGCAGACACGGACACGCCGCGCGGAGAGGGGCGGGGCGGGGCGGGCGGGGCGGGGCGGGGCGGGCGGGGCGGGGCGGGCGGGGCGGGCGGCGGCGACCACCTCAGAAAGCGTGGCCGGAAGGCGCGGGCAGGGAGGGGAGGCCGCGTCGCTGCCCGCCCGCCGCCTGCAGAGGGCGCCGCGCGCTCGCGCTGGGGACGCCGCCCCGCCTCCCGGCGCGTCTGCCCGGCCCCGCGCCCCGCAGCGCCGTCGCCCCGCGCGGCCTTTATGACGCGACCGGGCGTCACGCCCCCCAGGCTCGGGCCCGGCGCCCCGACACCCACCTAGTCCCGCCCTCCCGCCCCCACTCGCCGCCGCCTTTGCGCCCCCAGAGCGCCCGGCTACGGCCAGATCGCGGGCTCCCCGGGTGCCGGGTGTCTCCTCAGGGCGCGAGCCCGTCCCTGGCGCAGCCCCGCCAAAAGCGGGCGCTAATAAAAATGCAGTGACGTGGAGCCAGGAGCTTGGTGGATGAGCCCCAAATTCGTATCTCCACCCGAGACCTCTATAGTCTAGGCTTGTCCATCCAGCCGCCTCTCGGCCTCCTATTTAGATGTCCGGCGTGTCGAATTTAACACGTCTTCTCCGTGTTGCCCCTAAGAACCCCTCCTAGATGCCCCCCAACCCCACCTCAGGGGTGCCAGTTAACGGTACACCGCTTTCCCTTGGGGACCCCGCACGGCTATCACCTTTTCAAAGAGCTATGTCCTGAACCCCATAAGATGGTTCCCCCATCCTGTCAGTGTTTATCAGGTCCCCCCAGGTGTAATAAGGGTGCTGGGCTGCAGAGTCTGGGCCGGCAAAATTCCCATCCTGAAGCTCAGTTTATGTAATGTGAGGGAGAGACATGTAAACAAATAAACGGACATAGAGCCAGCTTTCCCAACCCGCTCCATCCCCTTGTTCTGCTTTATTCTTCTTCGTGGTGCTTATTGCCCGAAATTGTGTTTCTTTCCACTGCCCCTCTCTCCTTCTTAGTCACTGACAAAGGTAGTTTTGCCTCCAAATAGCTCATCCATTCTTCTTCTCTAGTCTTATTTTAGGCCCCTCTGTTACTGTTGTAACATCCTTATGAATGGCTTCCCTGCTCCTTTCTTCTCTCCTCGGGTGACTCCCACCCCACAGGTGCTGGAGGGATCTTTCTGAAGAGGATATCTTGTATCATTTGGGCCCAGCATCAGATCCTGCTCCTTTTTAACCTTTTCATTTCTCACCCCAGTTCTCACTTCACACCATAAATAATTCCAGCCTAGCTCTCTTTCCCTTTATTTGGTTACATGTCTCTCCCTCACATTAAATAAACTGAGCTCAGGATGGGAATTTTGTCGCCCCAGGCTCTGCAGCCCAGCACCCTTTTTATGACCTTATTGGGCCCTGGGGAGACTGATATACACTGAATGGTTGTCACTCTCTGGTTCAGAAGTCTGTTGGGTTTCCATGTGCGCAGCAGTGGTTCTGCAGAACTGGCTGCACCTTTGGAGAACCCAGCTTTTACCGCAAGAGAAACAAACTTTTCTGGAAAAGAACTTTTATAGTTTTAATGCACATTTTTGTTAATGCTTCTGTTGCTTATGATAGTTTATGGACACAAATATTGCAGGGATGTTTCTGGAAATAAGTTTTATTACTATATAGCCCAAAACACAAATCAATTTGGCCTCCCTGGTGGCGCAAGGGGTTAAGTCTCAGCACTAGGAAACCATTGGCAGCCACTGCAGCACGAGTTCTATTCAAGGTCAGGGAGCTAACCCACATGTCTCGCCCTCTGCTCCCCTCAGCAGTATATTTCAGTCAGTCTGCCTCTTCTGCTCCCCACTCTGTCTCTGGTGAATCCTCTCACCCCTCCCTTCACCCCTGCACCTCTGGCCTGTATCCCAGTTCTCGTAATGCATAAATAAATAAATATTTTTAAAAACATACAAATCAATTAAATAATTTTCCTCAGTAGTTAAAAACTGTGATAATGTGAACCATAATTTTCATTGCTATAAAGATAGAACACAAAGATAAGAGCCCATTTAACAGCTATCTAAGGTGTGAGAGTAACATATACAAGCACCAGTTGGACTGTTGTCTGCTTCCCAGGCTCCCCCTGGATGAAATCACAATGGGGTCCCAGACTCTTTTTATTCCCCCCATCTACCTGGAAAGCCTCTCCTCATCTTCTATATCTGGGTGCGAGACGAGGAAAGATTCCTGTGAACTGAAGAAGTGGGAGTAAGACGGACTCACAATGGATGTTAAGGTTCAAATGGCCCCATCCAATCCTTTTGCATGGAGATTTCTGTACCCAGAGAGAAGGAAAATAATGTGGACACAAACATGGACACAAGGTGACCCTCCCTGGGTGTGAGAATGATGGAGAACACAGAAAGAAGACCAGGAATGAAGGTCTTTATGATCACATCTTCACATTAGACCTCAAAGCAACAAAGATGGGCAACATCATATTTGCACTCAACCCACAAACATCTCTTTATTCATAAACTCTTTATTATTCGTTCTTTCAACAAAAATCTTCTGAACACCTACTATAAATTAGCCAAATGCCAGAGATTTAAAAAAAAAATGGGACAAAATAAAACCGCTTCCCACCAGGAGAAAGATACACCCAAGCAGGAGGCTTTGTTCAATGATGAAATATGCAAGGAGTGCAAAGTGGTGCAAAATCATATGCAATAATGACATTTTTCAGGACTCAGAGTGTAGCTGTGATGTGGGAGAGAGTGAGAACTTCTGACAAATTGAGGAAAACAGCTTTTAGTATTCAGAGCAATAACTTTCTTCTCTATGCCCATCCCCAATTAAAACCAACATGGTTTAAAGATTTATTTTATTTATTTATGGATAGAAGAACGGGTGTATTGGCCAGGGGCGCAAGGGGTGAGGGGATTCACCAGAGACAGAGTGGGGAGCAGAACAGGCAGACTGGCTGAAATACACTGCTGAGGGGAGCAGCGGGCAAGACAGGAGAGGTCTGTTGTATCATGTGGGTCAGCTCCCTGGGGGGATCGAGCTCATGCCACAGTGGCTGGCAATAGCTTGATAGCACTGAGATTTAACCCCTGCGCCACTACGGAGGCCCCAAACCAATGTAGTTTAAAGCGTACATGGAACCATGAAAAAAACTCCACACACAGATCATTCCTTACCTTGTCCCTGAAGTCTAGTACTTCTTCCAAGACAGCAGGACCAAGAGACAAAGCTCAAGTCCTGTGCACCCCTGGGGGCTGATTTTCTGAGCCTCTCCAAGGAATAGACATGGAGCTCATCGGACAGTGGGGGCGGGAGGAAAGCTCACCAGGCAGACAAGAAGATATTCTGGGCAACTGAACCAGTTTGTGCAAAGGCGTGGAAGCGTGACGAGCCTCGTCGTTTAGGGAAGGTACATCCTGTAGTGTGGACAGAGACGAGGTGGTAGCAATTACCAGGACATGAGACTGCAGAGATATATCGGTCCCACATTATGGAGGCCATTGTCTGCACCATACGGCATAGGAATGAGTGCCCTGTGCACTCCCCAAGGGGGTGGTGTTATGTGGCAAAAAAGAGACAATAGGGTTAGACATGTAGCTTAGGCTTTATTTATTTATGCATAGAAGAACAGGTGTATTGGCCAGGGGTGCAGGGGGTGAGAGGATTCACCAGAGACAGAGTGGGGAACAGAACAGGGGTACTACTGAAATGCACCACGCCAACTGTGGTGCATCCGCTAGGTTTGGGATGTAATTAATCTGTGGCAGGTTACAAGACCCACTTCACACTGTTTCTTACACCTTGCAGCCCCTTAGGGGCTGGGACACTCTTCCTGCTTACCCAGCGAACCGTGACTGAGCGCAGTTCCTAGCTCTCTTTCCCAGACCCCCGGCTAGGGACTGTTTCCTCCTATATTCTTCAGTTCATCTGCTCAATAGCCTAGCACCATATGTAAACTCCCAGCTATGTCAAGTTTATCCAGTCACAATACCTGGCCTTCTGGATAGACTTTGTTGTTTGACAATTCTGCTCAAGCATCTCTGGCTACTTCCCCACCTGCACAAGAGCTTACAAGTGTTTACCTGTGCCCTGTGGCCATGGGGTAACCATAGCTTCAGTACCTTTCCAGACCGGAACTAGAGGGGAGAAGCAGCAAAGGTCCAGGCCGCTGCCCTCTGCGAGGCCACCTCCTCCAAAGACAAGGATTTCGTCTTAGGAAAACAGCTCTGGTGTCCATCTGCCCTCTCTCTGGCCAGGATACCCCTCAGTCCAAGGCCCACGCTGATGAATTGCCCCGTTTAATAGCACAGCCTCAGACTATGGGAAGAAGGCGTCACGTTTACCTTATGAGAAAGGGGCCCGATTCATTCTTGTCTAGGCAGCATAATAAATAACCTGCCCCTCTTGGCAGGGAGTTTATTAGAGACTGATGGGACATTTAACAATAACTGGGGGCCTATGATTTATTAGGGAGGGAGGTTTATGGCATCTCCGAAGACTGGGATGTGGAATTTAATTGATAAAGCTGCTGTCAGCAGCAATGAGATATACTCAATAGAATATGCATCTGAGGGATTCTCTCTGGAGCTGTCAGGGAGGGTCTCCGCTAACCATACTCAGCTCCTGCGGAGGGTGTTGTCTGCTGGATATCTGGGTGAGAGACAAATGGCAGGGAGGGGACCCTGGAAGGGGACTGGGGAGGGGCGCACCTGTCAGTTGCCCAGCCCGGTGGAAGAATGTGACACAAATGAGCCAAAGAAAAAAGGATTTCCATCACCCTAAGTGAGGGCTCCCTTCAGAGGCCTTTGTCTCTCTCCTGCAGGAGAGCAGAGGTGCTGAGCGCTTACCTCCCGAGCCAAGAGGAAAATGGAAGAGTTAATAGTAAGAGGAGAGGTTGTTCAGGAATTCTAAACTCCC